TCCATCCATCCATCCATCCATCCATCCATCCATCCATCCATCCATCCATCCATCCCATACTATGCCATTCGTTCATCCTTTTTCGTTGTGTTTCAGCTTGGCCTGCCGTTGTCGTGCAGCGGCTATTGCACAGGGATACTCGTGGTTTGCTCTGGAGAACTATGGCGTTTGTTTCTCGGCTGCAGGACCTTTTTCAAGTTATTTGGCAAAGTAAGAAGTAATCATTTGAATTTTGATCAAAAATTTTTGTCTTGGTCGTCAGTTTTTTTTTGTTATGTCAACTAACATGGCAAGCACGTTTTTTGTCCCTTCGTATTTGACGTCATAGCCGCCATGTTGGTTGCCTTAAAAATATTTTGTCTTTTTTTTTCTTTGTTTAATGTTAAATTAGGTTACATTCGTCTGTTGTTTCTGAACTAGCTCTGTCTTTGTAGCTTCACACTTGATCCTGAAGCAAATTGTATTGGAGTTTTGAAACACAACAAGACTATTGTGAGCCAAGAAGATGGAGAAATCTGTGTGGGTGGATATTTCAGAGCCTATATGTACGAGGTGAGAGGAATAGAAAGCCAAGTATGTGGACTTCGGCTCCCCCTTAAAGTATATATTTTAGCTTCATCTAAATAGAGGTTTTAGGTGTGGCCTTATCGCATGGAAAAACGACTTCCGGGTCGTTCAGATCGTTCATCGTTTTTCTTCATGGCAGGATTTTTTGTCCAATGTTCTAAAAGTTTAAATCATTGAAAGCTATTTTTGCTTTATTTTGGCAGTTTTTGTAAACGGCTGAACCAGCAAATACGTCACAAATGTTAAAACTCTATACTCTTGTCACATTCATCTCTTACCATTGCAAAACGAGCTGCCCGTTTGGCGCCAAACGTCAACCAAATCCACAGGAACTCCATTTCCACACAAGTGTATCATCAACCTCACTCTCGACCTCAGAGTCCCGTCATGCTTACTGCGCATGCTTGTTAAAATGGCATTTCGAATATGCGCAGTAAAAGAAGATTTTAAAATATTATATTTTGAAAATGCTTATTTTTTTAAGATTACAAACATCGGTGCCCAAGCACCTGCTCACGCTCCAGAAGAAGAAGAGGAAGAAGAAATAGCTCGTGAGTACAAAATAAACAAGGGCACTGATTAACCGCGCGCGAATTTCAAATCTTTGACTTTAGTATTAGCGTCTTTTCACGGTGTGATGCTGGGTCCAGGAATCGAAGGTTACAAGGAAGTGTGCTACCGTTAGTTAATGATGCTAATATTATGCATGTAATCAGTTAATGATGCTAATATTATGCATGTAATCAGTTAATGATGCTAATATTATGCATGTAATCAG